CTCTTGGCTTTCTCTTTTACATTGTTTCTGTGTTTCTTATTTAATAAGACGGTTGGTTACATCTACAACTTACCTTTTTTTTGTCTTGAGAATAATATAATCTGTTCTAATAAAATGGGGACAAGCAATTTACAATTTTTCCACTTGTGAGTAACAATTAAAAGGACATGCAAAGAAGAGCAAATCAGCTGGTTATCTAATACCAAATAACAAGCCCTGAATATATGTGTATAGGCATACATGCACATAACATATATATATGTATATGTATATACATATATACATATATATAATATATACATATGCATCATGCATGTAATAAGAACTAATAAAAAAAGAGCCCATGAATTTGAAAGTGAGCAAGGCTGGTGTGTAAGAGGGTTTTGAGGGCAAAATGGAAGGGAGAAATATGAAATTATATTATAATCTCTAAAATACAAATTGAAAAGAGAAAAAGAAAGAATATGGAGGAATGATATCATACAGTTCTGTAATTATAACATTGTCATATGTTTTATAATTTTCTTTCCCCTTTGCTTCTTGGAGTTCTAACACGTTTGTTTGGGGACAATTTGTTTTTCTTTTTGAGCCCCTTAGGATGCCCTAGAAGCTATGGTTCCCTAGCCTGAGTCTACTGAGTGCAGAGATCACATGTCCCTTTACCTCAGTCTCCTGAGTGCTGAAAGTGTATCCTGTCCCTGCTACACATTTCTGCTTTAATTTAGTGATTTTTTTCAAAAATATTTTTCTACTCTGATATTTTACTCCTTTTCCCTCCACCATGAATACATCTATTTGAACTGCTAATATCAGTAATGAATAGATAATACATTATATTTCAAAAGCAATATGTATTTACAAGGGTATTAATTAGAAAGGAGAAAATGAGTACAATAATAATCAAAAATAAAATTGTATATAATCATATGTCCCATAATTATTAACATTCTGAACCCATGGTTTTTGATCTGTAAAAATAAATGTTGAATCATAAGGTACAATGAAAATATGTTCAATAATATTTATGTATTTTTCTTAACATAGAAAAAAGAAAACAGTAAATATGCGATGGAAGAGTAGATCTTGGGGAGATGGGGAATAAGTGGGAATGAATACATTACAAATAATTGCATGCATGTATGAAATACCCCAACAATTGGTAAAAGTTTATTTATGTGAAGAAAAATTTCAGAGCAAGGTTACACAAACCAGGTAGTTGCTGTTGAAGATACTTCCTAAAGGAAAAAGAAATTGAATTCAAGTCCAATAAATCAAAGGAGGAGAAAGGGATGCTAAACAATGGAGATAGAGGGAAAGCATTAGAAGATATCAGGGAGAGGTTTGTCTCTGTAATTAAGCTACTTATGTTTGCTAATTGGTGCTTATCAAATAAATGCTGTTATCCTCCACAAATAGGAGGAGACAATGATTTCTTTTTTATTCTAAGTGTCTCTTAATGTGGTCTTTCAATCGAGTTTGTATCACTCTGAAGAAAAGCTCTCCAAAACACAACACACAAAGGAAGGAAGCCGTGAGTCATTTAACAAAATAAGGAGATGTTTGTCTCAGCTTGTGGAATCAACCCTTGGCTGTGGTCCCTTGGCCAGACAGTTTTTGGGGGGTCAGTGCATCCTTGAGGAGGGATACATGGCCTAGTGGAGTTTCTGCTGACCACAAGGTGTAGCTAGAGTTTTCCTGCCTTGCCCACAGTCAGGACAAATCTTTGTCACCCGCCAGTCCCACAGCCGCTCAGACCCAACCAAGTAAACACAGAGACTTATATTGCTTACAAACTGTATGGCCGTGGCAGGCTTCTTGCTAACTGTTCTTTTATCTTAAATTAACCATTTCCATAAATCTATACCTTGCCACGTGGCTGGTGGCTTACCGGCGTCTTCACATGCTGCTGGTCATGGCGGCGGCTGCAGTGTCTCCCCGCCTCAGCCTTCTGCTTCCCAGAATTCTCCTCTCTCCTTGTCCCACCTATTTCCTGCCTGGCCACTGGCCAATCAGTGTTTTATTTATTGACCAATCAGAGCAACAGATTTGACATACAGACCGTCCCACAGCAACAAGGCAGCCGGGAAAACTGAAGAGAAGCATTCGTTTGTATAGCAAAGCCATAAGCCCTGGAAATTATGAACCTGTAAGTGGGGTAACCCATTTGTGAGATCAGATGTTAAGTATCTAAAGTGCTATTAACTACCAGTACAATGTTGAATATCATATCTCCAGAACTTGTTTATTTTGAGTAAACAGACCTTAAGCCTGTTGAGTAGTAACCCCTTAATATTGTCTGTATCTAACACAAACCATAGGAAGCGAAGTCCTCTTCTATGTTTTCTTGATAAAAATGATTTTAGATATCATAAAAATGACTTTAAATATCATCACAGAAAATGTTTGGCTCAGCCATCTAGTCTTTGTTTCTTGAAATGTTCTCCTTTGAAAATAAGGACCATATGCTTATGTTCCAGCCAACAGGTCAAAGTGAAGTACCAGAAAATAGGTAACATCTTTATAGCAAGTCATTACTTGCCCTAGGCTTTGAGCTTCTGCAATTGATAGCAAAATAGAGGAGAGATTAGCTATCCCCACCAAGATCTACCGAAATTGCAAATTCAGATATAATGAAAGTGACATATTTAGAATTAAGAAGTATTTTCTCATAGCAATGAGAATAGTAGCACAATGTGCAACCTGAAAAAAAACCTCTAAAATTAGACAAACTTTGATGAAAGGAAATGGATTTTCATCATGTTATTTTCTGTATTCTGATACTATTGAAGCATTTAATAAGAAGAAAGATAATCTGTCTCCTCCGAAACCAAAATAACAGTGAGGAGACTGCACAACAGGAGAACAGTATTGTGAAAAAAGATTCGTGCTTGGAATAGAAAAGTTGTTTTTGTATTGAAATTTGTTTATACTGATAAATCACTATCAACAAAAACACTGAAGAACCAGCCAGGATCCAATACTGGGTGCTTTATTACAAATGAATCTGGATTGCCAAATTCCATAGACCCTTCTGTGTTCAACCCTAACTCCATGCTTAGAACTACAATGCCTCTCACTCCCATAGGGACACAGGACAAAAGAGTTGACAATTAAAGAGGTCTGCCTGTAGAACTTACTACATGGAGATTCATCACCGATGCAATGTTTGATTTCAAACTCTGCCACTAGCCATCTTTATGACCTCACTCCAGCTATCTGAACTGCCTAAGCCTGAGTTTCTACATTTAGAAAATGAAGCGTTTTACATCTGCCTTGCAGGGTGTTATGAGGATTAGTGATAAGATACTTAATGTTCAGAACAGTGCCTGGCATGGCAAAGACACCCAGTAACAAACAATAGATCCAAACACTGCAGCTAATCCCTCTTGGAACGAGTCTGAAGAGATTTCAAATCCTTGTCAAATCAGGAAGAATCTGTTCATCTTAGTGATGAGTTCTGATTCTCTAAGCATTGATGAGCTTGACATAAATGAGACTCACATAGATGATTGTAGAGACTTGACTAACTTTACACATGTTCAATAAGTTCTAGAAATATCTGTTTTGATCTTAATATTAAGTAACCACTACTATGACCCCTTTGACTTAAAATTATACATAATCCAGTTAATTATAGCCAATTACCCTATGATGTCTGAGAAGAAGTGTGGAAACACGTAACTCATTGATTAGAGCCCTAAGAGTGGCAGGAAGAAGGCTGGAAGAAAAACATACTCTGCATGCATGTTTGGAAAACCTAGAAAGCAGCCTTCTGAATCAGGTGATATTCCTAGTGATGATGAGGTGTCAAAAGGCAATTGTCTCCTAGAAATAAGAATATCCATTATAGCTGGGGCAAGTGGTACATGCCCATCATCCCAGCATTTGGAAGACCGGAGAGGAAGAATGCAATCAGTTTGAGACTCCCTAGCAAGACCTTACCTCCCAAACAAATAAACAAGCAGAGAGAAATCAAATGGAAGAATATCCATTCCTTCTCCACCTTTCACAGATTCATACAAAAGGGCAAGTTCTTGGTGGAAGAGGAAAGGCAAAGTTTCTTGTAAAGATTTATTTAGGTTTACTCTTTGTGCATGTGTTTTGTGTGCACGTGCAGTCCATGCATTCCATGCTCATGGAGGCCAGAAAGTGGCATCAGATCACCTGGTGTTATTAGTCACAATGTTGGTGCTAGGAACCAAATCTGCGTCTCAGCAAGAGCAGTGAGTGCTGTCAACTTCGGAGCCATCTCTCCAGCTTCAAGAGAAATCAAGTTTTAATGAAAAGATTCCTAAGTTTGTAGTCGAACGCAATTTCTGTGTTTGGTATCATTACTAATTTTTGTTATAATTAACCTCATTATAGTAATACCTACCTTAACCTCATAATATTGTCTCAGAAGTTAAAGTAATATATGCAAGAATATCATCTAGAAAAATATGTGCTCAATAGACACCATGCCATTTCTATTTTTCCAATTTGCTTCAGGATGTCTCCTATGTTTGTTTCATTCAAGCTCAAAAAATAAGTTCTACATCATCCTTCATTGGCACAAATTCTCCATGTGTACATTGCCAAGGTCATGAGAGTCTACATAAACAGGGTAAGTACTTTGATCTCAAAACACACTTATCAAAACTTTTGGATAGAGAGGAACATTTGTAGAGACCTGTCAGACTAATTGCTAAAAGATCTTATTAATTAAAAAAAACCAGAGCCAGATATTGGGGTAAAAACTGAGAGATCAGGAAAGCAGAAAGAAGCCACCCACCACGTTCTTACCACTAGAAATCCTCAGCCAAAAAGAGAGACCTACTTCCTGTATACCCATACCTATTTGCCTTTCTGTCCCTGCCCTCTTACTTCCTCTCTCTGCCTAGCAACATCGCTTCCTGTCTGTGTGTACAGACCTCCAGACCTCCATGGTTAGTGCTGGGATTAAAGGCGTGTGACACCACCACTGGCTCTGTTCCCACTGTAGCCTTGAACTCACAGAAATCCGGATGGATCTCTGCTGCCCAAACGAGAGGGCTAAAGATGTGTGCTACCAATGCCTGACTTCTATGCCTCTGATTTTCAGATTAGCTTAAGTGAGCGCACAAAGAAAATATCACCACAGAGACCTAATGACCTAATGGAAACTGAGGCACGCAGATGAGCCTACAAGACGAGTGTTGAACAATAGAAGGGGATAGTGACATACTGGCATTGGGAGCAGGCTGCATGGGTACAGAGGGTGCAGCAGGTACTGAATCCTAATACAGCCGTTTCCACTGATGGAGTACAGACATAGTACAGCTTATTATTATGTGGTCCAGCTCTGGCAACAAAATGATGCCCAGGCAAGGCTCCCTTCCCCCAAGGATAGCAACATACACTAGTGATTGCACAGAGGAAGAAATCCAGACTGCTCCATAGTCATTAGATTTTTGAGTCATTTGAATGCCAAAGGCTCCTGAATTGTTGCCAGCCACTTGCATTTCCAGGTTTCTGTGTGAGAAACATTAATGCCCTGTGGGTAACTGAATCTCAAAGTAAAATCATTCTGTCTTTCTTTTCAAAGGAGTACGTGTATGAGTTCTCTCTAAGATGAGAAAAGAATCCATAAAAATGTGGAAGTGATTTATTAAGACATATGGGAAAATGATGCTTTAAAATCTTATAGGTATGGTATAACATGAATCTTAAAAGATCTTATAATTAAGAAACCCAGAGCCAGATATTGGGGTGAGAGCTGAAAGATCAGAACAACCAGCCACTATCTTACCTCTACAAAATCTTCAGCATCAAGACAGTGAGTTCTTGTTTCTTTATGCCTTATATCCCTTTCTGTGCCCTGCCATATTACTTCCTGGGATTAAAGGCATGTGTCACCACTGTCTGGTTCTGTTGCTCTCACGTAGTCAGGTGTGGCCTGGAACTCACAAGGATCCAGATGGATCTCTGCCTCCTGAGTGATCGATAGGATTAAAGGTGTGTGCCACCACTGCCTGACCTCTATGTCTAATTTAGTAGCTGGCTCTGTCCTCTGATCCCCAGATAAGTTTTATTAGGGTACACAACATATTACCATAGTATGGAGCAAAAAAAAATAGAGAGAATATTTAATTACTAGAATCAGCAATGGGTAAAAACTCAGAATCAGACTGGGAGTATTATTGAACAAGGAAAGGAAATAATTTATATTAAAAAAATAAATCACAATCCATAGTAAGTTCATTAGACTGAAAAGTCCAGCAGGGAACAAGGACATTCTGAAACTAGCACACTGGTGAAGATTAAATCAGTATGACACACCCCTAACACCGTGTATCATCCCGCATGTGGCTCCACATTCTGTGTCCTTCTGCTGTGTGCGATAAGCACCATCATCCTATTTCCCATTGTTCTTAAAATTACAAACAGACCCAGGACTGGAAGCAACATTGAAAAAAAAAGATGGCCAAAATGTGCTGACAGCCAGTGGGATGCTTCATAGCTGTCACATTTAGGATCCCTTTGCACAAATAACCCCAAACAAGCCAATAAACAGCTCCAGATAATGCCCCGATGGTGGGATTCTCATGCGCTATCTCATGAACATACAAGAGAAGACATAAAATGCAGAATCATCTGGCAAATTTCTGATGTATCCATTAGAGTGCTTCGTAATTCCCTGTGTTCTTTCATAACGCTCATATTAGAGGGCTAGTATCTTAACTTTCATTTTAAAATGCTCAAAATTTGCCTTTAAACTGAGTTAAAGAATTGGAATTTACTGGGAGCGGGGGGGGGAGGGGGAGAGTTGAGGGAAATTATGGTATAATTTGTCACTTCATTTCTAATTTTGATATGAAATAAACCAGGCAAAAAACCCTCTCAGAGGAGCAGTCATCATTTTGTTCAGGCAGTGTTGTGCCTCTGAGTACCAGAGTTGCTTCTGGAGGCAAACAACTATAATACAAAAACATGTTTGCTATATGCTTGAAACAGCTTCCAAATGGATTCTGCCATCAAATCAAAATTCTCATAGTTCCAATAGATATTTTCTTGAAGTCTACAATTATTTCATAGGGCTAGAATGACATTTCCTAGTGCATTTATGCTTCTACAAGAGAATACCACTGGCTGGGTCATTGATGAAAGATAGGTTTTTATTTTCTCATAGGTCTGAGCACTTAGAAGTTCAAGATCAATGTGTGCAAGTTACATTGTTCAACAAGGGTTACCTCCTGTTTCACAGATGGTCCCGCGGAGATGCCTGTGGGTGTGGAGGAAGACTGCTTCCATGGCAGAGCATGAAAGAAGAATAGATATAGCACTATGTGAAGTCTCTTTGAGGAAAACCTTCATCTCGGTTGTGAGGAACGAGCTTCCATGATTCAGCTACCTCTTAGTCATATTACCTTGGGAATTAAATTTCATCTCCTGAATTTTTGAGATGACATGTTGAAATCATAGGTATAGTCTCAATAAAATGTAATCTTCTGTAAGGAAATCAGGTGGTCCTATGTTCTCTTTTCCCTCACAGTGGGATGGTGTTCTTGTACCAGTATATGGGGATCAGATAGTGACTGTTCGGCAGAAGTGATTCCTACAAAGTTACATATTAGCTCCAGTACATGAGTGACCTAAGGTCAGTTGTTGGGGTCCTCTATCCCCTGTTTTACCTTCGACTCCCTCCTTTCTGCCATGGCTCCTACTTTCACATCTTTATTTCTGATTCTCTCTCTCTCTCTCTCTCTCTCTCTCTCTCTCTCTCTCTCTCTCTCTCTCTCTCTGTATTTCTCAAAGTGCTTTTTGTCAACAAAATCTATTGATGAATCAGAAAACAAAGTGCAGATTTAATGTAAAAGAATCAAAAGGTTGAATATTGATATTACTATAGCCAATGAAATAAAACAATGGATTGTTTCCACAATGATTTTCCAATATCTGTTCATTCCTAGTAAACAGAAAACAACTTTAGGGAAATAGAACATGTATTTGTAAATGGGTGTATAAAAACCCCCTTCAGCAATTAAATACACAAAAAATATACATAGTCATATTTTCAATATGTGCAATGTACCTTTGAACTACAGATTTGTGCAACAATATTTTAATAGTATATTCATTTTTAACATGAAACACTGTTTGTATGCTTGGAGGAATGAATATATAATGTTGAATTTAAATTCTGACGCTACTTCCAGCCTTCTATAACTTATTAGTAGAAATTGAGCACCAAATCACATTTACTAAACCAAAAAAAGTCATGATTATCTTATTTTTCTTATTGAAAATAGATGTTCTTCATACAGTTTATTGTGATCATGACTTCCCCTCCCCTAACTGCTCCAGTAACCTCCCCAACTCCACCCAAATCCACACCCTTCCTTTCTCTCTTAGAAAACAACAGGCATCTATCAAACAAATAAACAAGGCAGAATGGGATAAAAGAAATGATAAATGGGATGAAAGAAATGGAAGCTATAGAAAGAGGACAAGAAACACACACACACACACACACACACACACACACACACACACACACACACACACACACAATCTCATATGAGCACAAGGACCTCCCAAGTAAAGGGAAATAGAAAATTACTTCTGATGCTTTTGTTCTTTATTTTTCTAACAGTGGTTTTCAGTGGTGGAAACTTTCAATTGTTCAAAAAATTGGTTCCAAACACCAATTTTGTAGTCACCCTTAGGGATGGGGTCACTGACCACTGTCTGATGTCCTAGAAAACAAAACTGAACTGCTTAGATTCTGTAGGGAAAAAAATCACATATTAACTCTGATCAGAGTGTGGGTGAGATAGAATTCATTATGTAAGGTACCTGCTTTTCCACTCCCCATGTTATTTACCATTTACAAGAAATTAGAGAAACTAATTTATCAACATTAGTGTCTGTTTTATCATTTATTGACTTAATTTCACATGTAACTGAAGAAATCCACCTTAGCCCTAAAAACATAGTTTTTAAATAAATAAGTAAATGCACTTATTTTATTTACTAATTCTTTTGCCAGATATGCTTATCAATGGGAGTAAGAATACAAATATATCCTAAATGATCCTTTATCAGATTAGATATGCTTTAGCTTTTAAAACTCTACTACTTCCTAACAATACATGTCAAATAAAATCTACAACAAAAATTTAGAAAACAGATTTTTTTGAGAGATCAATATTTATTGTTAAAGCAAGATTTTTTGAAAGTATTTCTCCATATGAAGCATACCAAAGAATTTAATTAAAGCCACCCAGGATGAACTTGGTAGCATTACCCTTTAGCACTTCTTGGCATTTAGACATTTATTAAATAAGAAAAAAAACTTTGAAAACCATGGAATCTTTGACACATTTGAAGTATTTAAGCTTGAAGGAACCTATTTTAGATAAAATGAGAACCCTTGCTGATCCTGGCCCACTTTTAGAGACACATTCAAACCCCAAGCTTTTGTTATTTCTGAAGTAGGTTGTTAAGTGATTTTTCTTTGTATTTCCCCTTTCTGCCTGAATGGACTCACTTCTAAACACTCACATGGTTTGTAAGGGCATTTCTGGAAAAACAGAAAGAACAGTTATAAATTTCTTTTCTTCAACTTCTCAGTAAATCCCTCTGTAGACTTTTTAATGCTGGGATTACATATATCAAAACTCCACTTGTGCAATAAGTGCAATACCAACACCAATCAGATAATCACATGCATTATTTGTCATTGTGAGTTCTGCCTTTGTTCTGATATCACCACACATGTGGGGACACCATACGTGTGCTTGGATTTCACAATGAGGAATAAGAACAAACCAATTCTGGGAAATGGTCATCATTCTATTGAGCCACAGTTACCTTCTGTTCCATTTCTTTGCATCAATGACAATAAGGCTTTTGGTCCAACTGTGAAAATACATCTTTTGTGAACACAGTCTTCCTATTTGACTGTAACAATAAAAAATCAACACAGGGACACAAGGATGGTTTAAAAGAATGTGACTTGCATACATAAGGAATATGCTCTTTATGCTGTTGTTTCATTTCTGTTTTTGCTTTTACAGAGCACGATAACTGGCCAAAATGGACAGAATTGGTGATTGTAGAGCGCCCATCCCCAAATGGAACACCTAAAATACAACTCTATACCAAAGGTTCAGTGAACATCAAGGAAGAGGAAGTGAAAGATTTTGAGGACCGAAAGAACAAGTGAAGTGTGGTGAAATGGTATCTTCTGGATATGACTAGTATCATGTACCCATGAACTCTCAGCAGTATGTTTGCTTGAACAAGACGCACATCACACCATACTAGTGGACATCCTAGCATGGAATGGAAAAAAGCTGTCTATCAATCACACCCTGATTTAAACAGCTTCAAGCAGTATGACTGACTAAGAAGAGAGAGAGTCAGTTTTCATCAAGGATAACTGCCCTGATAGGTTGACCATCCCAAACCAATCAGCCTTACACACATATGCATGCAGAAAAAATGCTAACTGGACAAAATAACCTTGAGATGCATATTCCAAGAGCAAGTATAGATGAAACAGGTATAAAATTGAGAGGAGGATGTGAGAGGGTCATGGAATAAGCTGGAGAGAGGGATATGATGAAAATATATGTATGAAATGATAAAAAAATGAAATAACTTGAAAATCTACTTATGCCAGATGTAATGGTGCACACCTTTAATCCTATCAGTCAGAGGGCAGAGGCAGGTGGACCTTTGTGAGTTCAGGGCTAGCCTGGTCTACAAAGCAGGTTCCAGGACAGTTACACATAGAAAATCTGTCTTGAAAAACCCAAAAAAGGCCGGGCAGTGGTGGTGCAAGCCTTTAATCCCAGCACTCAGGTGGCAGAGGAAAGCTGATCTCTGTGAGTTCAAGGCCAGCCTGGTCAACAAAGTGAGTTCCAGGACAGCCAGGGCTACACAGAGAAACCCTGTCTCGAAAAACCAGGAAAAAGAAAAAGAAAAAGAAAATCGTCTCATAAAGATTATCACAGTATCATATACACACTACAGATATAAGAATTGCTAAGAACATCTACCAATTTTCTTCTTATTTTATTCAGCTTAAGAAAATTCAATAAGACTCTCAGAGGTAAAGGACACAAGTAAAAGTTTAACTTTCTCAAGGACAGTACTGTTAACACATGATCATAACAAGCAACACAAATCAGTATATTGTCTTGGCCAATGATCATCATGAGCAGAAGTAATTATTTCACACTGAGAAATTTCTAGGCTTAATGAAGTTAAAAATTGTAGCTTGTTAGAGTTGCTGTTACTTTGGATAAATATAATGCCTACCTCTATTTTTAAAGGCATTATGCAAATATTTTCTCTTCTTGAAGTTCAGTGTGTGTTGTTGATACTAAAATACTTCATTTATTTAAGTGGAATTTTAGTCATTAAATAATTAAATACAGATATGTATGCCATTAATAACCCAACTTATGCTGGCTTTGAATTAAATATTTAATTTTATAAATTCTCTGTGCAATGTATTTTGTCATATTACCCACTCTTAATGTCTTTGTGAATACAGGAATGTATGAACACAAAAGTCAACTCTTGGGAAAGTGAAGAAATTAATGGATATGCAAAGTCCCATCAAATTTCTGAGAGAGATGAAGAAATACTCTTTTGCTAGATTTCCAAAAATGCTTTTTATATGTCAAAATTACCGAGTCCTAAGAGTAGGTCCCATTCTAGACCTCCACGGGTAATTGAGTGTTCCAAATCTACCATGTGCTTTCATTACTCACAGCTAAACCCAGGAATTATATTATTGTGCTTAATTGTCCAAATCTAAATCAACCTAGTTCTCTATCTACAACAGGAGTAGAAAATGCTACATATCCCTTCTCTCCCACTCAGGAAAAATAGAACAGAATATATTTTTGAGGAACAAACCCACTTTCCTCTTTCATTTCAGAGAAGCCAATGTATTTCTGGGAAGGAGATAAGTACATCAAGATTAGGTTCCAATGACTGTGATTTTGCTTTACCTTGGAGCACCACCCTTCACTACAGAATCATTTCATTTTATCTGCTTTCTAATTGAAACTAGTAGCTGTAAGGTCAGAAATCTCTAAATGCTCTTTCAGAAGAGTAAACAAAAAACCTCCTCTGAAACTTCAAACTATAATTATAATTGCTTATACTCCTACTATCAATGAGAGTATATATATATATATAATAGAATTTTTCATTTATAGTCATGGAATCATATTCATGACACAGAGCCTTGGTTAATCTAAAATTTCATATTATTTGACATACAAGGTCACTCCATCACTTCTTGTATACTTCCAGAGCAAGTCCATTATGAGAGTTTCAAAAAGGAACATAGGAAAAATAATTCCAGCC